GATCTATGTGTCTGTGTTTGTGCCAGTACCACACTGTCTTGATGACCACAGCTTTGTAGTACAACCTGAAATCTGGCATTGTGATGCCCCCAGGTATGGTTTTCTTTTTTAAAATTACCCTGGCTATTCGGGGTCTTTTCTGATTCCACACAAATCTGAAAATAATTTGTTCTAACTCTCTGAAGAAAGTCCATGGTATTTTGATAGGGATTGCATTAAATGTAAATACCATAATTTTAAAAGTAGACTCATTTTCTTAGAATGGAGAGGACGATGATAAAAGGAGAACAGAGATATGAATGGAATAAAAAATAAAGACAAAGTGATTCTGAAAAGAAAATATTTAGATTTTATGTTACATAGATTTATTTTTTAAGCTATCTGTTTGCTTTGGCAAATTCAAATTGGATTAACTCCAAAGCAAATTTAATCTTTTGGGCAGAAAATGGTAATAGTGGCTGAAAAAAATCATACTTAATGAATATATAGTCCCAAAAAATGATATTGTTTCTAATTAGAAAAATTTGGTTTTACTGAGATTTATAGCATAGTCCAAAAGATTGATCTTATTTTTCACCTTCTGAAAATACCTTCAACCCTATCCTCCCCTCTCTCACAACCTTTCACAGGAAGAATAACATATAAGCAAAATATGTGAAAAATATATTCAGAGAGGCAAGCCTCAGAAACAGCAGTCAGGAAAGGAAGCAAGTAGGAAAGTCTATTCTCGCCAGATTTTAGCCTCCTGGTGAAACAGGTATGTGGAGTGGTGATAGGTGGAAATGTGATTTGTAAAAGTTCCCCTTAATAAGACCCAATGCTGTAGCAGTTCATCAAGTGTCATTTAGTATGCTGGTTTGTATTTCAGGGAATGTAATTTATCTGCCTGAATCCATGTAATAATGAAGTATGATTCCAATAATATTAATTTAAATCAAGATAAATAAGTTCACTGTACATTGCACTCAAGAATGATGTATATTCAACAATAACATCTCAAGAATTTGGGCATAATGTATAACTCAAACATTTTACTAATAGAAGAAGGCATTACATTCTCAAAAAAAAAAAAAAACAGATGGAAAGCACCCACACTCGCACATGCAGAAACAATGTTAGGAATGAGCAAGAAGGAGCCACTGTAGATCCTAGAAACATTAAATACATAGAAGTATATACATAATAATTTTAAGTTTCAAGACTTTAAAACATTAATTGAAAAGAACAAATGAAAAAAATTTAAAAAAGAGAAAAGAACAAATGTAATGAGAAATAAAACTCATAAAGCTGCAAGAAAATGGTAATAGTCGGGATCCCTGGGTGGCACAGCGGTTTAGCGCCTGCCTTTGGCCCAGGGCGCAATCCTGGAGACCCGGGATCGAATCCCACATCGGGCTCCCGGTGCATGGAGCCTGCTTCTTTCTCTGCCTATGTCTCTGCCTCTCTCTCTCTCTCTCTGTGTGTGACTATCATAAATAAATAAAAATTAAAAAAAAAAAGAAAATGGTAATAGTCTGTACCTACAGACAGGTTTTCATCTGCACGTTAAAAATTTTCTTTATAAATGTCTTCTACCCTGGATAGCTTCACCAGAAAATTATTTCAAAGATTATAAGAAGAAAAATTCATCAGTCACCAATTCTTTATGAAGTAGGAAAAATCCAAGGCTGTATGTCTGAAGGGCACCCACAGCTTAGGTGTCCCCAAGAAAGGGCATGTCAGGGAGCAGAAAGGTGGCCATGACCTAGGACATGAACAGTAGGGCATAGAGGCCAGAGAAATGAAGAAAGGAACAGTTTTAGGATGTAGATTTTGACCAATATTCGTAAGTGCTAGTGATAGGGTAGTTTAAATTAAGATTGACAATTGTCCATTAGAGTCTGTAGGTACATTTTGGCAGAGGCACTTCACTTTTTTTTTTAACAAAACCTAGAGTTAGAAATGTATTTTCTGCCATGCTTTAGTACAATAATATACATATACATACAGTCAATATGATTGTCTCCTATGACAATTTTATGTCTAACACTATGATATTTTAAAAATATATTATTCTACTTATGGCTGTGATGATGTTTGGTGAAATACATTTATTTCATGGGCCATGAAATAGGCTCAGTGAAGCAGTAGTTCCAGAAACAAGCACCATGAGCTGAGAGGTGATTAAGAAATGCAAAGTTCCAAATAATGAGGCTAAAAATGATATCAATACACTTGGCTGTAAGTTGAGGCAGTAGGGATAAAAAATGAGTTTCTTTCAGATATGTCTGTCCCCAGGGACAAACATTGCTGTTCATAATTGTTCATTCTGAGTAGTTACATTATTACTACATATGGTTACTATGCCAAAAAATGGGTACTAGAGCAAAAGAAGAAAAGAAAAAAAGAAGAGAAGAGAAAAAAGAAACACAACACAGCTAATTTTCAAAATGGCTCTATTTAAAACTTCTATATAGAAAATAAAACAGCAGTATTTGGGTTAATTGCTTCCCATGGATGTTCATAATGTGTTGCTCAAAATAAACCATACACAATAGTTTAATTTTGTTTTTTTTCTCTTTACCAAATAAGACATATCTAACTTTTTTTCTATAGCTGATATCAAAGAAATTACTGCCTATGTTTTCTTGTAGGAATTTTATGGTTTCAGGTCTCACATTAGCTCTTTAATTCATTTTGAGCTATGTGTATGTGTTGTAAAAAAGTGATCCAATTTCATTATTTTGTATGTTGCTGTTCAGTTTTTCAGACACCATTTCACCATTTGTTGAAGAGACTATCTTTTTCCAATTATATAGTCTTGCCTCCTTTATAATAGATTAGTTGACCATAGAAATGTGGGTTTATTTCCAGGGTCTCTATTCTGTTCCATTGATCTATGTGTCTATTTTTGTGCCTGTGCCATACTGTTTGGATAACTATAGCTTTGTAGTACATCTTGGAATCTGATATTGTGATATTTCCAGTTGTTCTTTTTCAAAACTACTTTGGCTCTTCAGGGTCTTTTGTGGTTCCATACAAATTTTAGGATTACTTGTTCTAGTTCTGTGAAAACTGTTGACACATTGATAGGGATTGATTTGAATCCATAGATTGCTTTGGGTGGTGTGTATGTTTTAACAAATTGGTTCTTTCAATCCATAAACATGGAATATCTTTCCATTTATTTGTGTTGTCAATTTAGTTTCAATGTTTTATAGTTTTCAGGGTACAGGTTTTCACCTCCTTGGTTCAGTTTATTCTAAGGTATTTTATTCTCTTTGGTGTAATTGTAAGTGAGACTTTTTTTTCAATTTATGCTTCCTATACTTCATTATTAATGTATAAAAATGTTACAGATTTCTGGATATATTTTTTTTCTTTGCAATTTTGCTGAATTCATTTATCAGTTCTAGTAGTCTTTGATGGGGTCTTTAGGGTTTTCTATAGTATTGTGTCATCTACAAATGAAAGTTTTTCTTCTTCCTTACCAATATGGATGCCTTTCTTTTTTCTTGTTTGATTATTATGGCTAGGAATTCCAGTATGATGTTAAATAAAAGTGGTAAGAATAAATATTGGGACTACTCCAAAATAAAAAGTTTTTGAAGAGTAAAGGTAACCATCAGCCAAACAAAAAGGAAACCTACCCAATGGGAGAAGATATTTTCAAATGATATATCTGATAAAGAGTTCATATCCAAAAATGTGTTTAGAATTTGAACAACTCAACACCGAAAAAAAAAAACAATTACAAAACTGGACAGAGGATCTGAACTTACAGACATTTTTGCATAAAAGACATGAGGATGGCCAACAGACATGAAAAGATGCTCAACATCACTCATCATCAGGGAAATACAAATAAAAACTACAATGAGATTATCTGTCACAATGGTTAAAATTAACACAGGAGACAACAAATGTTGGAGAGGATGTGGAGAAAGGGGAACCCTCTTGTACTGTTGGTGGGAATGCAAACTGGTGCAGCCACTCTGGAGAACAGTGTGGAGGTTCCTCAAAATTTAAAATTAGAACTATCCTAGAATCCAGCAATTGCACTACTGGGTATTTACTTTCCAAAATACAAAACATTAACTCAAATAAATATATGCACCCTGATGTTTATAGTAGCTTTGTTTACAATAACCAAATTATGGAAGCAGCCTAAGGGTCTATCAACTGATGAATGGATAAAGATAATGTAGTATGTGACACATACACAGTGAAATATTACTTAGCAATTAAAAAGAATGAAATCTTGCCATCTATTATGACATGAATGGAATAGTATTATGCTAAGCAAAATAAGACAGAGAAAGACAAATACCATATGATTTCATTCATATGTAGAGTTTAAGAAAGAAACACACCAAACAAACCAATGGTTCCCAGAGAGGAGTTGGGCAGGGGATGAGTGAAATAAGTGATGACATTACGGAGTGCCTTGCTGTGATGAGCACTGAGTAATGTTTTGAATTGTTGAATCACCATATTGTACACCTGAAGCTAATAAAAAACTGTATGTTAACTATACTAGAATTAAAATAAAAACTTAATAAATTCAAAATGTACAATTCACAAGGAAAAAGAAGAAATTCAGGATACCCAGGAAAGAATGGAGTATTTCTTATAGTACAAATAGCTAAGAATCTAGTTTTTCCCCCCTCTTTCTGTATTTTACATGTCATTTGATTAACACTCTCTTGAGTTATTGGATTTTTAGCAAGGTAAATAAATTATTACTACTAACAAAAATGAGTTTAAAACTTGTAAAAAAATTAAAAATTTAAGGAAATCAAAAAATAATATACAGATACTACTGTCATACAAAAAAATAATGAGATCAGTTTTGTTAGACAAAAAAAGAAAGAAATAAAGAAAGAAAGAAAAAGAAGGGCCAAGACATCCCTAGAAGGACCCCAAGCTGTGTTTCCTGTCTAGCACAGTATCAGAACTAATTTAGATGTTTAAATTTACAACTTCCCTTGTATTAAAAATGTTATGAAGCAATGACTTACTTTTCTTATCTTGAATTTGATTTTGTCTCTCAAATGTAGTCATTTCCTGCCTATAAAGGAAAGATATAATAACATGAGATAGCCCAGTCATCTGAAGCTGAAAACATACTTGAAGGAAAGGTTTCATTATTCTTAACCTAATGTCATTGGTAGATTTACAATTTGAATATTAATTAAAATTAAAAGTCTGCTTACTCCAGCTATGTCTGAAAAACCAGGAAACATAACCATAACTGATTACACTGTTGAAGGATATGTTAATTAACCTAATAAGGGGAATTCTTTTCACAAAGTATACGTATATCACATCACCACATACACTTTAAATTTTTTAAAATTTTGCTTGTCAATTATAACTCAATAAAGCTGGGGAAAAAACCCAAAAATCTAGGAAAAGTGTGGTGCCTGGGCGGCTTAGTTGGTTAAGTATACAATTCTTGACACCAATTCAGGTTGTGATCTCAGGGTCATGAGATTGAGCGCTGAAGTGGACTCCATCCTGGATATGCGGCCTACTTACGATTCTCTCTCTCCCTCTCCCTTTGACCCTCCCCCTGTATATTCACTCTCTCTACAAAAAAAAAAATCTAGGAAAAGAATAAGAAGTAGAAAATAAAATTACATATTTTATGAAACTTAAGGAATTGCTAGATTATCATACTATGTGTAATATACCATATGTATGAAAAAAAGTTGTGAAATATAGTAATATTTGGAACATTTTATTTATTTTTAAATAATAAATCAGAAGATCACTGTAAAACCATACTTGAATATGATAGGGTGCAAAGTCATGTTACAAAGAAGTTGGTGAATGATGAATCTGACTTGCTCAGCCAGATCTGTGGTTGAGGATCTGACCATAAAGCCCAAATATGTCTAAATTCACGTTGTGGATTATCACCATCAACTACTGACTGCCTATTTTAAATAGTGAGACTGTGGTTAGCTTTTGTTTCCAGACTGGAAATCTCCCTGGATTTTCTTACCTTCCTTTATTATTATTATTTTTATTGACCTGTGTTAAAGTTTAAACTGTGTCCACCCCCAAAGAAACTCCAAGTATATTGCAATGTGACTTTATTTGGAGACCGAGACTTTCCAGAGAAAACTGATTTAGAATGAGGTTGGTGAGGTAAGCTTTCATCTAATTTGAGTGTTGTCCTTATAAGAAGAGGAAATTTGGACACAGACAGGCATACAGTGAGGATGATATGAAGACAGTCACATAAGCCAAGGTGAGAGGCCTCAGAAGAGACCCACTCTGCTAATACTTTGATCTTGGACTTAGGACTTCCAGGATTGTGAGCAAATAAATTTCTGTTATACCTCTTGGTCTGTGGTAGTTTGTTATGGCAATTAAAGCAAATCAATGCAGCCTTATATAGGAATTAGTTCAGAAAATATTAAGGGTTAATACTATACTCACCCTTATCATCTTTGTTTTCTAAAGAGGATTGCCTGTAATCCCCACACCTATTTTGACTCTTCCACCACATAAGTCTTCACACATGTTAGAAGATAAAGATTAACAAATTGCTCTCCTCTCATTTCAGAACAAAGATGGACAGGAGATGACATGATAAAGATGAAACCACAAACACCTGCAACTCTCATGCAACGTTTGTTACCAAAAATACTTAGAATCAATATGAAGCAAAGAAAAAAATAAGCATTAACTCAAATAAAATAGTAGTAGATTAGTTTCTCTCAGACAGTAAGAAAAATAAGGACATAGAATATCTGAAATACATAATTAATCAAGTTTCCCTAACAGATAAATTTCAACTTATGACCCTTAAGAAAAAGTCATTGGAATTTTCAAATACTAGTTAGCTTATACTTAGTAAATACTGGTAGCACCCAAGCATGTGCTAATGAATGAATGTTAATTTTTAAATGTTACTTTAACAACCACTATCTAAAGTTGTACTATTGGGCAGCCCCAGTGGCCCAGCAGTTTAGCGCTGCCTTCAGCCCAGTCATGATCTTGGAAACCAGGGATCAAGTCCCACCTCGGGCTCCCTGCATGGAGCCTGCTTCTCCCTCTGCCTGTGTCTCTGCTTCTCTCTCTCTCTCTCTCTCTCTGTGCCTCTCATGAATAAATAAAATAAAATCTTAAAAAAATAAAGTTGTACTATTTTTAATTGTAAGACTATTTTTCATATGAAGAAATCACATTGAAAGAATATGAGTCAATCGGAGAAGGACAAACATTATATGGTCTCATTCAATTGGGGAATATAAAAACTAGTGAAAGGGAATGAAGGGGAAAGGAGAAAAAATGAGTGGGAAATATCAGAAAGGGAGACAGAACATGAGAGACTCCTAACTGTGGAAAAGAACTAGGGGTGCGGGAAGGGGAGGTGGGCGAAGGGTGGGGGTGACTAGGTGACTGGCACTGAGGGGGGCACTAGATGGGATGAGCACTGGGTGTTATTCAATATGTTGGCAAATTGAACATCAATAAAAATAAATTTATAAAATAAATAAATTGTATTAAATCTAAAAGAAAGAAAGAAAGAAAGAAAGAAAGAAAGAAAGAAAGAAAGAAAGAAAGAAAAAGAAAAAGAAAGAATATAAGTAACTTGTTTAAAGTTGATGAACAATATATGACAAAGAACTTTGATAAAATCTGCAAGCAGAAATAACAGACACCAATAATAATGCAATAAAACCAGAAATTATTATTAAAAATATACAACACGCAGGAGGGTCTGCACGCCCCGGGAGCAGCTGGAAGGTGCTTGGGCGACGGCTCAGCGGAGGGGGCTGTGCAGCCAGGAGCCCGAATCCAACAGTGCAGGCTCCGGAGCACAGGGCGCCGGGACACAGCCCAGGATCCGGCCTCCCCGGGGACAGGCAGAGGCCGGGAGGGCCCAGGACAGCGAGGACGCTCCTGCCCGGAGCTGAGCAGATCAGCGGCCCCGCCCGGAGCCTCCAGGCCCTGCAGACCGAGAGCTCAGTAGTTACTGCGGGAGCTGACTCCAGGGCTGCAGAGCTGGCCCGCCACTGTGGTTGTCCCTCCTGGGACCTCAGGGGGTAAACAACCCCCACTGAGCCTCACAGTGGCCTCACCAGATAAACAGCTTAAACAACACTCACTGAGCCAAGGGCTAACACCTGAAAATCAACACAACAGGCCCCTCCCCCAGAAGACCAGCTAGACCGACAGGGAATAAAATTATTGACCAAACAGCACTGGAAAGTTCCAGTGGAAGTCAAGTGACTTACAGTATACAGAATCAGAGGATATCCCCCTTGTTTTTTTTGTGTGTGTGTGTGGTTTTTTTTTTTTTTTTTTTTTTTTTGCTTTTTGATTTGTTTGCTTCCCTCCCCCTTTTTTCTCTTTTTCCTTCTCTTTTTTCTTCCTTTTTTCTTTTGTCTTTTTCTTTTCTTCTTTCTCTTCTCTCTTTTCCCCCTTTTCCCAATACAACCTGATTTTTGGCCACTATGCACTGAGCAAAATGACTAGAGGGAAAACCTCACCTCAAAAGTTAAGCTTGCAAATACCAAAGATAAAGAGAATATCCTTAAAGCAGCAAGAGACAAGAAATCCCTGACTTTTAGGGGGAGGAGTATTAGGGTAACAGAAGACCTCTCCACAGAGACCTGGCAGGCCAGAAAGGGCTGGCAGGATATATTCAGGGTCCTAAATGAGAAGAACACGCAATCAAGAATACTTTATCCAGCAAGGCTCTCATTCAAAATGTAAGGGGAGATAAAGAGCTTCCAAGACAGGCAGGAACTGAAAGAATATGTGACCTCCAAACCAGCTCTGCAAGAAATTTTAAGGGGGACTCTCAAAATTCCCCTTTAAGAAGAAGTTCAGTGGAAGAATCCACAAAAATAAGGACTGAATAGATATCATGATGACACTAAACTCATATCTTTCAATAGAAACTCTGAACGTGAATGGGCTTGATTACCCCATAAAAAGGCGCAGGGTGTCAGGCTGGATAAGAAAGCAGGACCCATCTATTTGCTGTCTACAACAGACTCATTTTAGACAGAAGACACCTATACCCTGAAAATAAAAGGTTGGAGAACCATTTACCATTCAAATGGTCCTCAAAAGAAAGCAGGGGTAACCTCCTTATATCAGAAAACTAAAATTTACCCTGAAGACTGTAGTGATAGATGCAGAGGGACACTATATCATACTTAAAGGATGTATCCAACAAAAGGACTTAACAATCCTCAATATATATGACCCAAATATGGGAGCTTCCAAATATATCAATCAATTAATAACCAAAGTTAAGACATACTTAGATAATAATACACTTATACTTGGTGACTTCAATCTAGCGCTTTCTACACTCGATAGGTCTTCTAAACACAACATCTCCAAAGAAACGAGAGCTTTAAATGATACACTGGACCAGATGGATTTCACAGATATCTACAGAACCTTACATCCAAACTCAACTGAATACACATTCTTCTCAAGTGCACATGTAAATTTCTCCAGAATAGACCACATACTGGGTCATAAATCATGTCTTAATCGATACCCAAAGATTGGGATCGTCCCCTGCATATTCTCAGACCATAATACCTTGAAACTAGAACTCAATCACACAAGAAGTTTGGTAGGATTTTGATGGAATCTTGTCTCACATTTAGATCTTTCATCCATTCTGAGTTTATCTTTGTGTATGGTGCAAGAGAGTGGTCTAGTTTCATTCTTCTGCATGTGAACGCTCAATTTTCCCAGCACCATTTATTGAAGAGACTGTCTTTCTCCAGTGGATAGTCTTTCCTCCTTTATCGAATATTAGTTGACCATAAAGTTCAGGGTCCACTTCTGGATTCTCTATTCTGTTCCATTGATCTATGTGTCTGCTTTTGTGCCAAGACCACACTGTCTTGATGACCACAGCTTTGTAGTACAACCTGAAATCTGGCATTGTGATGCCCCCAGGTATGGTTTTCTTTTTTAAAATTCCCCTGGCTATTTGGGGTCTTTTCTGATTCCACACAAATCTGAAAATAATTTGTTCTAACTCTCTGAAGAAAGTCCATAGTATTTTCATAGGGATTTCAT